CCGATCTGTGCCACGACTCCACGCACGACCTTGTCGTAGTCCAGCTTGGCACCGGTGGTGATCCTCTCTTCTTCAATAACCGAGCCCCAAAAACTTCAAACTTGCTAACATGGAGCAATTATATAAGGTCCAAAAGTTTAGCGTTCTCCCATGGGCTGCCCAAGTATCTCTCCCGCCACCATGACCATGTTGTCCTTGGTCGCCGTCTCGCAGGCCACCTTGCTCTTGGGATCTGCCTTCAGGCAAGCATCAAGCACAGCATCCGACACCTGGTCGCAGATCTTGTCTGGGTGACCCTCGTTCACAGACTCCGAGGAGAAGAGGAAGGTGCGAGATGTGCGCGCCTTCTTCTGCGCTGGCTCTGCCATGGCTGTCTGGAAGCAAGAGTGGACTGGGGCGCACAAAACTGCTAAAAGCTTGAGCCACAATGGCCACGATAGGGCTTCGGGTTTGTCTTGTTCTGCGCCGCTGGACCCTGGTATACCCAACCCAGCCGGGCAGAACGGTGCACCACGGAGGCCGCAATAGCTAGAAATAGAGGGTGACACATAATGGTAGAAGTCAGGAACTGGCGAGTCCGATAGAGGCTAGCCGGGCCTGGCCTCGTAGAAGCTCTCCTCTTCCGCCTCCTGTTCCTGTGCCATGTCTCGGTAGGGTTTGCCTTAGACCTCGAACCTCCGAAGAATACATCTAGAGCCGAGAGATCCCGAAGTTTCCTGGTGAGTAAGGTTGAAAATGACCGCAGTTCACGAAGCCATCGGACTCGTTTCGCCTTCGACACTGCGTGCCGTCACAGACCGAGTTGCAGGTCCTCAGTGGGCTCGACTGGCACTCCCAAAGGGCCTGCGAAACGTGTTCTGGGAGTTGCAAGCTTCCATGGCATCTTGGCAGGCAAGTAAGCACTACTGCCTACGAATAGGTAGGGCTCCAACTTAGGCTGCAATACTTGGAGATGTGGCCACCATGTGCAGTCTGCCGTCATTTCTCAACGCGTGAGACGAAGGCAGTGGATCCAAAGATGTCCCTTCAAATTCGGCTCGGGCTGAAACGCAAGCTGTTCTTGCCAACATTTGCAGGACAAGCGGTGCTCTGCCATTTTACAGACAAAAGGGTGCCAGTCGAAGGAGCTTGCACTTGTTTGACAATCGACTGGCTGCTATGGATTCTGGACAGCCTGTATACAGTTCTGGTGAGGATTCTGTCACCGTCGCATGCAAGTTGGGTGAAACACACTGCAAATAGGGTCTTCTCTAGGGTGCAATGTTTATGAATCTTATACTCTGCCTCAGATTTGACTCTGCCGGGCTGGCTCACAAGGTTGCTGCCTAAGGGAGTCCACCTTGGAACCAACTTTGCAGCCTAGGCCATGATGGCGCTGTCGGCCGGGATCACCTTGCCCCTCGAGTCGAAATAGTGCGAGATCTCATCACCTGCCCAAAGACTGCAATGATCTAACAATTTTGAGAGAGAATAGTATGGCATGAGTAGAGTAGAGTAGAGCGTGGTATAACCTAGTACGACATAGTATAATGAGTATGTGAGTCTGAGAAACGAAAGGACTTGTTCATGGAACTGTCATGGACCCTCAAGTGCTTCGTAGGATCGTTATTGTAAGGACATCTGCAAATAAGAGCCACTACCCTTCTTCACATCGGGTTAAGATCCCCAGGACAAAGACATCCAAAGCAACTGCTGTCAAGGCCTACAGAGCGAGATTTGGCTCTAGGAACCCCCCTCCGGCCTTTGTACGGAGCTTGCAGCTGGGCTACTGCCAACTCTACGTCCTCAGAGGGCACGTCCACGCTCTTCAGGAAGTCTACGTAGTTGAAGATGATGTGATCTCCGAGGTCGCAGTAGACATTGCCTGGCGGAAGGAGGGAAAGGAGAGATCCGGCTCGAGCCGGGTCAATGCTCGAGTCCATATACGGGAAGTTCTCTAAATTATTTTGTCCCTTTTAGGGTCCTGTTTATATGGGTGCCGTACTGTTTTAAAACGGCTTTAGAGAATTACTACCCAGATCATTGCCGTACACTCTCCCGCCCCCAAAGACAAGAACACTTGACCTAGTGGCCCGAACACCCTCCGAAAACGTCGAGGGAGGCTGCAATCATGTCATGCCACACTTTGAATCGCAGTGCCATGACAAGGTGCCCAGTAGGTTCACGTCATCTTCAGAGAGGTCGAAGCCCATACTCTGCATCACCCGATGGAACCTGAGCTTGATATGCGACCCGGTGAGAGCATGTTTCGGGGTTGTGCTGGCTAGCAGCCTTAATGCCGCAACTATGGTGATGATGACCGTAGCAAGCATTTTCGAAGGAGTCAAAAAGCAACAGCTTAGGGGAGCATTGAGCACATGTTGATACTGCTGGTCGCGAAACCAATGCTGTACGCTACGGTACAGAAGCGTGCACAACAACATCGGCAATCAACGTGCGTGCTGCTTGTCATGCACGCAGAAGCAGGCTGTTCGTAGTAATGTGTGGTCCGATGCGCATAATCAATACGGTGATGGCGCACAGCTGCACCACACATGTTGCGATGATCCCGAACATGGCAGACGTCATGAACTCGACCACCAGACTATGGCCGCCAGACAACTTGCGAACGTTTGATGCAGGTGACGAGCCCAGCACCCATGACCATCCTGATTGAAGTGATGATCATGATCACGCGTGCAGGATGGTGGCGATGATGATTATGAGTATCATGGCGACGAGGCCTCTAGTGACCCGACTGAAGGCCGACGAGTACTACTACTACTACTACTACTACTACTGCTACTACTGCTACTACTACTACTACTACTACTACGACGACGAACACGACTACTACTACTACTGCTACTACTACTGCTGATGCATGACGGCGATGGAGCAGCTGCTGCTTGTTGGGGTGAAAACAACGTGAGATAAATTTGGTGATGGCCGGTAGAAGCACCACGTTCATGCTCCTGGAGGTGCGACGGTGGTGGCGACAGGACCAGAACCGGACCTGCAGTAGGACAGTACCATGATCAAGTGTGACTTCAACAATTAGACTCCATATGGTCCTGACCCAGACCCTGACAAATCATCATAGAGCTGTGGGGCTGGTTCTTGGTGATGTGTTGGCAGTTGCTGCGGTCCATGTCCTGGAGCGGTTCTAGGGAGAGCGCAGATTTCGCAGATAGGATTTGAGGTTATGGACTTTCGACCTACTGTTGAGGCTTTGGTTCATAGGGCGGGGGGCGTAAGACAGCAAGGATGGTACACATGATGCCGAAACTAACAGCAATCGGACGAGCCACACCGTCAGTCCTAGCAGTGACCAAGCGAACATTATACCAACACCAGTCGCAAGGATGGTAAAAAGAAGAAGAGCCAATAACACAGGGATAGGCACAGCAACAACAGTCGTGTGGATGGTGTCTTTCTAGGACTGGTCCCAACCTGGCTGAGCCCCCTCCCCCCCTTGTGCCTTGAAGGAAGGGAGGAGGTTGATGCGATGTCTCTGCACCTTCGACCGGATCTTGCCTCAAATGTCAAGAGGAAGCGGCCCTCCTCTCGACCCCCTCAGCTACATCAACTCTGGTGAGTCGTGTGATGTTTAGCCTATAGGGGTTTACACTCTCACAACTCGGACGAGCCAGGCGAGGATCCATAAGACTATAGGTTTAGGGTTTAGGGGTTTAGGGACTGTAGGCATGAAGCGGCACATGAACCGCATCAAGGCGAGACTATGGCCAGCGGTTCCCGTGTCGTCAGTCACTTGTCTTGTGCGCAATTCTATTCCAAGAAGCACCCGGTGGACAACAACAGGAACACATCTGGGAGCTTCCGTCCCGACGGGACCCCAAGAAAGAGCAGCAAATAGACTAGAATCCTCATTATATATCGGTTCATAGTATTGCTATATATTGATTACAAGGGCCCCTAGAACAAGTGGCCCCCTTCCCCGTCCAGATTTCGTCGGAGGCACTCTCGAGCCACTCCCATTGCTTCAGCCTCTCCTGGGTGAGCACCACCTTGTTGCGCCTCGACACGTCAAGGGTTTAGGGTTAGGGGGTTTAGGGGTTTAGGGGGTTTAGGGTTTAGGGGGTTTAGGGCTTATTATGATGGAGCTTATAGGGATGCTTCGACGATAGCGCCGTTTCGGGCAAACTGTCCCGCAACTCGGACATGCCAGACGAGGTCTCACGGTTCACGGTCGGCTTGACAGGCGGTACCGGCAGAGCATTCCAAGAAAAGCCTAACACTAAGGCGTACCAAGCTAGACTAAAGGGCTTGTTTTGACACTCACGCTCGGACAAGCCTGGCAAGGTCTGTAGCGATACTGGTCCAAGGATTCGTAAGGGCTTTCGGGTTTAGGGGCGCCTTGCCACCATCGTCGAAGTGGAGTCGGGCATGCTGGTCTGAGCCTTGGTGCATGTTGCTGCTATAAGGGTGCCTTTCATGCATAGGCCTTAGGTGCCACAACTGGGGGAGGGATTTCTCTACGGGATCTGCCAGGCCACGAGGGGATCTTTCTCCAGGTTGGGGGTCGCAAACTCCCTGTCGACATCCGCGCAGAAGTCTCCGTAGCCTGGGCAGCGCAGCACAGGCTATCAGGATTCATGCAGTCGAATGATATCGCCAGCATGACTTCTCTCGGACACGGCAAAAGAGTAGACAGAAGGGCCGTTCTACGCAAGACGCTCTGAAAACGGCAGCGTCCGACGAATTGCGGCTCAAACCCGTAAACCTTCCTCTGAGTTCAATTCCAAAGCTTTTCAGCTCGGAGCCCACCCGTGGAACCGCATGAAATGTGCCAAATTTTCCAGGAGGCAGAACATACCATCTTCGCGCTCATAGCGGTGGAGGAGCTCCTCGTAATCCGCCGCCGTGACAATCTTCCCAAGGTCACAGATGGTCAAGACGGTCTTGACCTGCGAAGCCTTGCAAAATCCCTTCTTCAAGTGGTCGAAGTCTTGGAAGTATTCCTTGATGCGGACCCTCTTCTCCACGACCTTTGCGCGCAACTTGTCCACGATGGTGTGGAGTCCCTGGCTCCACTCAGACTCGTCTGGCTTAAGGACCAGATCACTCCTGGGCACGGGCGGGGGTTCATGTGAGGAAACTTCGGAGATGTCATTGTGCATGGCCATGAAGTGGACATCGCCTTTGTCCGTCATATAGTTGTTGGCGAGAATCTCCACGTCCTCAAGTGGGAATTCCTTCTTGAAAGGGAATCTCTTGATGAACTGCTCCCTGGTCACCTTCCCGCCCATAAATGGCGAAGTTCTTGCTGGCGATGCCACCGGAGCACGGTCAATGTCGAAGAAGACCTGTTTGAAGAGAAGCCCACGAGCCTTGCAAAGGGCTGCCAAACGATGAAGGGCGTGCATGAACTTCTCCTCCTCTTCTGGAGAGCTTGGCTTGAACGACATGAGCTGGGTGGTGCTGGGTGAACAGGACATGTGATGCTCATCCGGGCTACCCACGAGATAGACCTGGTCGATTGCCTCACAGAACTTGATGTAGTTCACGATGGCCGGCGGAGCCACGTGCGCGCCATGCTCTGTGAAGTGCTCGGCTAGGTCGTCGACTTCCTCCTCACTCAGCGCTGACATTCCCAGCATGTTTACCGCCCTGGCAAAATTGATGATGGTGCATCGCCCGTGCTTGAGAGGATCGAAGTCATTGAAGAACTCCTTGACACGGATTCGTCGGGGGTACACGTACACCTGGATCTTGCTCACGAGCTCCGCGACGGCCCCGTCCATTTCTGCAAGGTTGCCGCTGAACGAGGTGGGGCAGTGAGTCAGGCTGAAGCCGAAATCTGCATAGCATAGTCTGGATTTGTGGTCTCAAGGTCTACTTCAGGACGTGAGGTACATGACATTTCCACCTTCAGAACTCAGGAGCAGTCCCGCGACTGCTTCTAGTGAAGAGGCCCAGTCTCGTTAATGTCTTATAGCATCCCCAGGGCTCCAAGTATACAAATAGCACCTACTTTGGGGTCTAAAGTCTATAAATAGTACCTACTTTGGGCTATTTGGAGCCCCAGGGAACATTCAAACACCGGCACATGCCACATCCAGCCAGCGGACGAAGGTGGCATGCCAGCCGGCAACCCTTGCACATCGTACAGTCCCAGACCCCCGGAAGGATCTAGAAAGTAGAACCCCTAATTTGGGACCCTATACTACTAAAGGGTACTTGATAGGAGCCCCCTTAAGGGATCTACTTTTTGGATCCTCCCGGTGCTGCGCGGTAGCTTATCGTAGCACAAACTGGCCTTCCGCCTCCATGGGCGCAACCTCGGTCGCCTCAGCCAAGCCCACGAGCTCAATTGAAAAGACTCGTCTGCCGATTGAGAACAAAAGGAGCCCATCCCGAATGCATTGTAGGCCTGCTTCCCTCTTCATCCTGCTTTCTGATGTCTGGGTGCGATGGTGCTCTGAAACGCATCGCAAGTTCCTAGCGGGCTAACGACCAAAGGATGAGCACCGTCAACGGCGATGAAGTGGCTGCACTTCACTGCCCTACATCCTTTGCACCAGCCGAGTCCCCAGCTGCTGAGGCAACGACAGCTGGCTCAGATGCCTGCAACAAGTTGAACGCTGATCTTCGAGCTGATTTCGGGCTTGCCTCCCTCAGCCCTTAACTCCGTGTCGAGTTGGTCCCCAACCTTGGCGACATTGATATTAAGATAGATGCAAGACCACAGTATAATACAGTATAATGTACTGCGCCCTACTCGAATATGATAGAATGGAATGGAAGAGCAAAGAACATAGTGTGACAATATAACAAGCTTTTCGTCTCAGCAGTTCCAACTTTGACATGTCTGCCGAGGTCTTAGATAGGGGCCTGTTTAATTTGAATAGGGTTTTGGGGCCCATTTTGCTATATTCATAATAAGGACCCCCAAAAATTAATATATTGGCAATTAATTGGGCCCCTATATTAATTCTGTCAAACCCGGTTGCTGCAGTATCATCGTCGGCAAATTACTGAAGCCTCGGGCCATCCTCGTGAAGGCAAGTAGAGCATGCTAGATGACTGAGCTAACCCTAACCCCCAGGTACCTACTATATAGCGTACTAAAGCCCCTAAAGCCCTATATAGTAGGTACCTGGAGGGTTAGGCTAACGCAAGGCATCTCTTTTTGAGATGCTGACACCTGCTCAGCTCGTTTGCCCCGTTTAGGGCGGCGCTTTCTCTATAGTAGGAGAACTTCCTTAGGAAGCTAACTCCTCGCCTTGGCGCTGTCGAAACTGATAAGTGAAAAAAGGGAGTCCCAACCACACAGCGTGCGATTTTGGCCGTCTGCTGTGGCTGCTCGATTCAGAAGCACTCCCCCGGTGCAGCACCACCAAGAAGACTTGAAGGTTCGGTCTTCTGCAATTGAATTTCAACAATATTAGACTAGATCATGTCACTTTCTATCGGATTGTATCATATCATACCATATTGTATTTTTTATAGTGTTGGCTAGAGAATTCCTGCTCTTATGGGGCCTCAGAGCCGCGAGCTCTCGGATAAAGAAGATCTCGCGCATGGCTCACGGCTTCAGGTGCTTGTGCCTGAAATTGCAATAGTTCCTCTGGCTGGTACTTCGGATTATTGCAGGAGCTCGGGCAATGTCTCCCACAGTTTACGCTTCTTGAGCTTTTTGAGCATCACGTCCTTTAGCTTTTGCAGATAGGCCTCCTTGTCAGGTAGCTCCGGCAGATTTTGCTGAGAAAGGCTTTCCTCGAGCACCTTCTCCTCTGAGGACGTCTGCGGTGAAGACTTCGTCTCTTCCTCCTTTGGCAGCTCCGGCAGCTTTTGGGGCTCTGTGAGATTCGTTCTTTCCCCAGGAAGCTTCTGCTCTGAGGAACTCGGCTTTTTCGTGGTTGCACTGAGCCTCTGTCTTTGTCGTATGGTCTTTTCCACATGCGCGCGAGGCAGATCGTGAATCGGATGCTGTTTCGTAGAATTGGCTGTCGGAATCTTAGCACCTGCTGCCGTACCGGACGAAGGGCACCCGACTGTAAAGAAGTAGGTTGATGTTGCTTCGCAAGTGACCAAGCCCATGCCATCATCGTAGGAATACCCATATACTCCTGGACACATGTGATGGATGGCGCCGACCTTATCTGAGTAATTCCATATGCATATAGATCACTACGTCAAACAACATGCGCTCGGCGAGCAAGGACTACTCTGAACTCCAAGAGAAGAAAGGCTGGATGACAGCCATCCGCATACGCTTTAGGGCCCTTTAGCGTTACGCTGACAATGCTTTTAAGCTGTCAGGAAGCGTACTTCGACCACTTGACGCTGCCAGCCCTGCACGCAGCGGGGGAAACCGGCGGCGTGGGGCAACAGTACTCTCGGCTGAACACATCCATATTGTACTGCGTAGTACTGAAACTGGCCCATTGATTCAGTGTCAGCTTGCTGCAAGGTGAATAGCAGCCGGCAGCCGTACTCGCCGCGGGGTGCCTCACTTGAAGGTCCACTGTGGCATTGCCTGCACTGTCGAACGTACTAAAGGTCTCCTCCTTAGGGCAATCGTCCACGCTCAGCCTTGAACAGTCCACGCTCTTGGCTGAAGCATTCATTAGATGCCCGTCCGCATCCCAACAGCTGCCATTGATCTCAAACTTGAACGGGACGGTGTATCCATCCACCAGGCTGATATCCACCCAGTCGCAGCCTTCCCGCATGCCTGCTTTCGAGGGGCCACTTATTTAACACAGGATGGACTCCATGCCCGGTTCGTGCGGTTACAATCCCAAAAGTCTCGGTTCGTAGTAGGGAGTTCGAAAAGCCTTTCCCCGCTCTGACGGAGCAGTGATGAGATTCGATATCCAACAACAAGACCCATAATGGCGAAGGCACCACCACCAAGAACAACCACCACCACTGCCGCCACCACCTCCACCAACCCCCCAACCCACACCACCAGTGAGAACGACACTATCACCGTCACACGCGTCACGACAAGCAGCCACGAGCACCCCCAGCGGCGGCGACAACGTCAACAACAGCAACAAAAAGACGTGTACGTCACGTAAATTTACACTCACATGTACGCAAATCGGATTTCGTCCATCCCCACAGAACAGATCGATGTCGAGTGCATCCTTTGATATAAACTGGTTTGCACAAGAAGTGAGTTTGGCCAACCATGAGACCTTCCAGTGGGCTGCAAGGCAGGCCAGAAATGCCAAAGGTGGCCTCAAACTTGGTGTCGACGGGCGGAGAGCCTTAGGTGGCTCTGTAGGAGACATTCAGGGACTCGTACTGCTAGGCTTGTAGGATCTTCGGGGTGTTTATTATTAACACTTTGTCGTGGTTTTGTCAGAGTCTGGGTGCATCACACCGTTTATGCTACACCCAGACCCCACAAGTGTGAGGCATGGACCAAGGGCCTTTTGAAACCACAAGGCCTGGGTAAAGTAGCCCAAACAAAGGACCCCTTGACTCCCACGGACAAAGATTGAAGCCCTGCAAAGCACATCAAAGCAACAACCTACGTCCGAAAGGCCTGGAAGAACCCTTATTGAAGACCTGACTGGCCCTGCGAATACTGGTACAACAACACCGGTTCTACCCCAGCTTCATTGCACTCGACTTTTCTCTTCGCAGCTGGGCTGTCGCTTGTTTTGGGGTTTAGGCTCTGGGGTTTATAGAGGTAGCGAACCTAGGTTTGTTTCAGGCTTTATACAATGGCCAAGGAACAGCCATCAGATCTGCAAATCTGCTGAGGTCCGCCGCTGTCACCAATCACACACTTGTTTCCTTGGGCTTAGAGCATAGGCCGCGAGGTTTAGCATCGGGGAGGGGACGACTATTGCAGATACACTTCAATTACCTTCAGTTGCTTCGACATGACGTCCACCACAAGCATCCCGTATACGTATAGATACTTTCATTTCGAGCGGGTTGTGTGGGTTGTAGTTATTGTAGTAATCGGGATTGCGACCAGGGCTGCTGTGGTTATCGTAGTTGAAATAATTGTAGTTGGTGTCGTTATCGGAGCGAGTAAAGTTGAGAAGCAGTCTGCGAAGACTGTTTCTATCGTCCTCCACCCAGCAACAGAAAGGCTGAACGTATCTCACCTACTGAGACCCCAACACAGCCCAGGCCAGGTCAAGAATGCCATGAGTCATAGGCCCTTACAGAAATTTAAAGCCCTCAGCCCTTTGCATCAGGCTTGCGTCGGCTGTCAGCACGCAAAGATGCCTAAACCCTTTTTTTCATCCTGCCTGCAACCCGAACTCAGAAACCCCCCAAAAAACTATAAACCCTAACATCCTCAAGCCTAAACCGTACAGAGCCTCTCAGAGAAACCCCTGGCCCTAGCCCCCTCCGAGACTCCGTCACCATCGCAGCCGAACTTCGGCCAGTAGCGAGTGCTGGTCCTGGGTCGTCATGGGAGTCAGGTCATGCAGAGAAGATTGGACTCGTCATGCGTACTCATAGGCCCCATAGTAGTTCCTTTTGGGGATTACCTTATAGGACTCTGAACACGAACCCCTAAAAGGATACGGGGCCTATGGGTATGTGCATGAATTGCGATTTGTGCATTCTATTTTCTTTGTTATATTCTATTACCTTACCTTATCTTATCTGGCCCCGTACTTATCATACTATAGATATAGGGTACTGATACAGAAGGAAAGAGACTGCCCTGTGTACATCCATGTTTAAGATTGTCACTGCTACTGCTACTGCTACTTATTATCTCATTGTTACTACTGCTGTCACTATTCTGCCGAATCGAAAG